AATCTCATTTACAATAGAATGTTTTTCTCTTTAAGATTAATCAAATCAAAATTTAATTATTATAGTATATGACCTATTTTATTTTTCAAGTTATCAATTAACACTTAATATTATTATTCTTTTGTCTCTAATAAGAATCGAAAAATACAAATTAATACATTAATCATGTTTTGATCATATAACTTATTGGTGATCAGAAAGATAAATTAATTGAAATTAATTAAAATTTTGAAAAATTTGACAATAAAAAATGCATAATTATAATACGGAAAATTGCATAATTTGAAACTATATGCAATCTTTTCATTAAATTAATACAAATAATAAAACAATACATATTATATTATAACTATATATTCATTTTACCAATAAAAATAAATAAATGTTAAAATTTCTATTATCCATTAAGATAAATTATCCATAGACTTTACCAAAAAAATAAATAAATAACACTATCCATATAACTTCCTATAATTTAATATTAGGAAAAGTTTTACCAACGACTCTTTTTCACTTAAATAAAATATTGAGAAATAAGAATTAAACCACCCCAAATAAGGATATTCGTGAGAATGATCCACAGTAAAATTAATTTAAATTTTGAAAAAATTACACAAATAAATCTTAAAACTAAATTAATTATCTAAAAATGGCCAACCCAAACTAATTCCCGAAATGGTCAATCGGATGTGCCCTTTTTGTTATGAAGTTAACTTTTGTTAATATTCTTAAATCCTCTTTATTTGAGGTAAAATATTCATTTATCAGGTAAAATTACTTTAGAAAAAATTATTTGTCTACTACGCTAAATTGTTCTCCTAATTTTAATGAACATAAAGACAAGACATAACGTCAAAATTTTTTTTTCATCCTTTATCACTGTGTAAAGAATGAGATAATTCATTCTAATTTTCATCAAGTAGGTCATTATTTCTGTTTGTTAAAACATCTATAAAACAAATTTTAAGTATATTCAAAATTAATCTATAGATGGATCATCAGACTTTATTGCTTCATATAGTTTATGAAAATTGTTAATATATTGACACTCATAATTTTAATCTTTTCTCTTGAATAAGTTATATATAAAATAGAAAAAAATATCATTAATTTAATTATTTGATTCAAATATTATGTTTCACATGATGTTAAAAAATCACGGAATCATATGATATTTTATTGTTCTTTCCTATCATGTTTATTTCAAAATATCATAATAATTTTTTCCCCGAAAACTAATTAAATTTCTATTATAAATTTATATAAAATTGTAATATTGGGCCCGTAACGGGCCTTTCATTATCTAGTATATATATATATATAAATAAATCACTACCACCCAACATATCATGAAAAATTTATGCCTACACTTTCTATGAGATAATATCTATAACGAAGCATATTAAATGTAGACAAAATTTACATTATGCATACAAAGTTCTTATAAATAAATAATTGAAAATATAAATACACTTATAAATTTAATGTGCAAGGAAGTTATAAATCAATAATTGATAGTATATCTTATTAGGAAATTTTGTATTTATAATTTTAATTTATCTTTTAATAATTATATTTTAATATACTTAATTTTATATTTGGATATAATATCATTTAATAACTTACTATAGAGAATTTTTATTTTTATTTTTTAATGCTAGTAAGAATATAATATACCCATTGGATATACAAGTAAAAATTATTTATTTTTCTTTTCATATAATTCTATCAACAAGGGGTAATTAAACTTTTATGATAGTTATTTTTTGTTGGATAAATGACTATCCATATAATTTTAATTTTTTCTATCTTTCAAATAAAAAAACAAAATAAAAAAAAATGGTATTATTGGTTTTTAGTGAGATGAAATATTAATTATATATAAGTTAAAAATATTTATCCTAAAATTTATGGTAATGTTCCAACACCGTATTAATTTGACAAATATTTATGATAGTTACTTTTCTATTGGATAAACAACTACCCATATAATTTTAATTCTTTGTATTTTTCAAATAAAAAAAACAAAATAAAAAATGGTATCATTGATTTTTAGTGAGATAAAATATTAATTATATAAAAATATTCATCCTAAAATTTATGATAATGTTCTAACACCGTATTAGATTAAAATATTTATGATAATTATTTTTCTATTGGATAAATAACTAGCCATATAATTTTAATTCTTTGTTTCTTTCAAATAAAAATTAAAAAATAATAACATTGATTTTTAGTGAGATTAAATATTAATTATATATGAGTTAAAAATATTCATCCTAAAATTTATGATAATGTTCCAACACCTTATTAAATTGATATTATTGCATAATAATTTATTAAACCTAAGAATAGAATAATTATTTAACAATAAATTTCATTCTAGTGATCATTTGTCCTTTTTATACTATTATATTTTTTTTAATTTTGGTAAATATATTTTTAAGAAAATATTCCCCGAGGATTCCTAATTTACAAAAATTCTTAGATTTCAATAAAAAAAATTCAATTAAATTATATTAAAAATATTCAAGTTTGCATATTTCCAAGTAAATCCCTTAAAAAATCTCAAATCAAATTCACAACAATAGAATCCCCAAGTAAATTCTTCAAGTAAGAAAATTCCTAAGTAAATCCCCAACAAAATTCATAGAACATGAATCTCCAGGTAATACCACATAAAAAATATTTCTAGATAAATTTCCAAGTAATTATTTGCAAATAAATTTATCTAGGAATTTTCTTGCTAGAAGATAAAAAAAAATCATTTTTTTATTACTTGCGAATATACCTATGAAAATAATACTTACAAATTATTTGCCGCAAATAATTCCCTAGGTAATAATTTTGCGAAAATGGTGCCAAATTTATCCACCAATTTTTCTGGAAGACTATTTTTCGTAGGTAAAAAAGTCTATAATTTAGGAATTTCATATTTCCGCATGAAAACTCGTAGGAAATTTCTGCAGAAATAATCCCCAAGTAAAATTCGCCGGTAATTTACCGTTTTCTAGTAGTGTTTGCAGTTTATCATTTTTGCACAACATGTTGGGAAAGACAAGGCACTAACAAAAATATCAGACAGGATAGTAGCGGAATAATACCCAAATCTAAACTTTCCCTTTTAATTTGAACTAAGAGGAGACAAACCAAATCAAACAATATGAAGAATGGACAACAAGTATATCAACCAAACTAAAGCAATATGATAAGAACAAGCTAATCACACAAGACACAACGATTTACGTGGAAAACCCTTCGATGTGAAGAGTAAAAAACCACAGGACCTAAAGCTCCACTATAAACACCAAGAGTTACAAAATTGTTCTCTAAAATTGGCCACAAAACAAGCGCCAAACAACGAGCAACAACAAATCAAGATTGCACCAAAACTGGAGAATTAAAGAAGAGATTTCACCCCAAAACGCGCTACTGTTCACGCCCTCAAACCAGAAGCTACAGACCTCCAAATCCGATCTTCACCGTTGAATTGTAAGAACCAGATTCTGAGAACTCCCAGTTAAAATTTGAGCACGATCCAATGGTTAACGAAGCGGAAAACTCTGTCTGAAGAGGACTGCCTGAGCAGAAAATTTCCAGAAGCAAAAACGGAATTTTTCCCTTTTTCTCTCAATCTCTAAAACGAATCTCTCTTGATTTTTCTCTCTTGTATTTCTGAAAATAAGACCAAATAAGCCTTATATATGCCACATAATATTTTGGGGTTTTATGGGCTAAAGTGAGCTGGTCCTAATAAGACTTTTATTTTATTCCACATAGGAAGGGAAAGAAAAGATCCTAAACCCAACACAACACACCTCAACGTCACTTTGAAAGGTCAAGTGTACACACTTTATCTTCCTTTCTTTTGATGGAAAATTTATAAACTTATCAAATTATTAGGTCGACAACCTTTCATACCATTTTGATAATAAAAATTACCTTCACATTTTGAAGGACTATTTGGAGAACCCACAATGTTCTTCATTTAGCCATAGCGATGACTATCATGATTTCTTTTTTCTCATGCCCATATTCATTGTACAATCACAATAATCATTGTCATCTTTCAGACTTATCATGTACTGCTACCACATTCACACAAGAGAATGGAGCAAACCAATTGAGCAAAATGCATGACTTCTCATAAAAATACAATTAGTTTGTCATAGTCATCATTATGGTGCATTAGAACTTAAATCCAATGTCTTATCCATATAAAGCCGTCTTAGGTCATAAATCGATGGGACATGAACCCAACGTATTATCATCATGGTGCATCAAAATTCAAATTGATGTCGTATCCTCTTGGTGCAATAGAACTTTAATCTACCGTCTTACCCTCCAACATTTTTTTCATTATGTGCATCCGAACTTTAACCTGATGTCTTACCATTTTAGTGCGATGAGACTTGAATCCATAGTCTTACCCTGAATTAATAAATAATAGTCCAAAATGAAATGGAATTAACCTCTTGTGTCCCATCATATCGTTCACGTCACTGCTTACCAGAGACAAACATATGCCTCTCCCAATTTATTTATTTTTTCAAGCTAAAAGAAATTGTTTTCTCCGGTCTACTCCAAAAAAATGAAATTAATCTCATAGTTTAGAGTAATGATTAATAAAATAATAATAGAAAATAGAAGCATAGTTTTCTTCTTAAATGGCAAATTAAAACTTTTTTTTTTGAGACGTATACGCTTAGTGAATGAAATAACTGTGCAAACCATATAAGCATACACAAAATTTATTAAACTTAGAAAAGGAAAACAAATAAAAAGGATGACAAAAAATCATTCATTAAACAAAACATAACAAATTATAAAATTTTCACTTCATTATTGTAGCCTTCAACCATTAAAGAGCTTTAAGCCCAAATATTTTGATAACATATGAGCCGTTGCTTAGGGAACGGAACCAACAAGTGCTTTTTATCGCATTTCTTCTTTTATGTATTTTAAACTTTTTCCCTTGTGCTGGTTAGAACAATGTCAAAATTAATTAATTTCACTTTTTTAGGATGATTCTCTAAATGATGAGACTGGTATTTCTTTGTGATCAACTAGTGTTCTTCTTCAACTGGCAGATAAGAGAGATGTGGTTGGTTTGCAGGAACAGGTATATGTTTTCAGCGGTTAACTTGCTTCTGAATTTTCAAGTTTTTGTTCGGAATTTGGGATATGTGAATCTCTTGCTCTATAGATCCCCTTCCCTTCGTCTAGAACATCGCCTTTTTTTTCTTCCTACTATTGGAGCAGGAGAAAACTGATAATAGATCTCACTTGCAGGTGGTTAAGCTGTTAGCTTATATTAGTGATAAGGACTTGTTTGCAGAATTCTATAGGTAGAGTTACCTCTACTCTGTATCTCAACCACTACTCGAATAGTAGCTTCTTCTCTGTTATTTGATAAAAGTGCCAATGATGAACATGAGAGAAGTATCCTAACAAAGTTGAAGCAGCAGTGTGGGGACAGTTCACATCAAAGATGGAGGGAATGGTAAGCTATCCATATCAATTATGTTGAATTTGAGGCTATGTTCTCTGGTGACATTTTTCTTCTCTTTCTATAGGTCACAAATTTGACATTGTCAAGGGAAAATCAAGCCAGCTTTGAGGAGTATTTGAGCAATTATCCAATAGCAAATCCAGGAATTGACTTGACGACGACTATCTTGACTACTGGCTTCTGTCCTAGCTACAAGTTTTTTGATCTCAACATCCCGGCAGAAATGGTGGAGGATTGGGTGGGTAGGAGGAGACAATAAACTTAGAATGTCACTTATGCAAATCGGTTTCGCTATATTCATTAGGAAAGTAGTTTTCCAAGTGAAAAGATTTTCCAAACATTTGACCAATCAAATATAGAAAATCTGGAAAACATAGACTACATTCTCAAAAAATGAAAAAAGTAAAGAGTCCTCAAGCACTTGAGGTAAAATGCATAAAACCCAAAATTAGTAGGGATAAATTTGCAATAACCCTGAATGAAAATCCAAGAAATTACAGCGGAAAAAATGGACATAATTAGAAGTATAAGGGGGTTTTCAAGGAAACAGGAAAACCACATAAAAGGGAAAAGAGAGATTCACATCTCACCGGATACTCTTCTTGTCATTAATGGTTCCTGGCAGCTCCGTCTTGTGCCGTCATCGGATCTAGACTCTCCGATCACTCTTTCGGCGAATTCCTTTGCTCTCCGGTGACTTCACAGGTATATTTTCCGGTCAAATTGTGAGCTCTGATTCGATGTACACTGTTCCCACGTATGTATATATCTATGATACCTAGTTGATGTGATTGTTTTGGTTTAATAGTTTCTTCCTTTGCTTCATATTGATCCTATTATTGATTTTGTTTCCAGTAGCTATTGAAATTGTGTTTTTTTGTTGTGGTTGATTTTGCGTTCTTCAAAGCTGTGATTGATGGACTAGTCTTATGTTGTTTTTTTATTTCTCTATAGTTTATTCTGAGCATGACTGTTTTGTCCTTTTTGAAGTTAGGTATAGTGGAGATTTAGTGTTCATTATTGGTAGGGTTTGAGTTTAATTTTTGGTTCATTCTATGTGCAACTGACGACATTCATGCAAACTAGAAATTCAATACAAACAACTAATTCCAGAACTTTGTTTTCTTTTGTTAACTGCCTGAAACTTTAGACTTTTCAGCTATGTTGCTCAGAATCTTCAAAAATGTCGACGAGTGCGTGTCGGATTAGTAAATTTTTGAAGGATCCAAGCAACTTAGCTTTTCAGTGTCTTTGATGTGTATTTTCTTTTGGTATTCTCAGTTTTATTTACTTATTAATTTATATACGTTTATTGGAAAATGTTGTGTAAACAGTTTTTTTTATGTAACCCTAAAAAGATTTTTATTAAGGAAAAGTGTGCAATTTTGGTAACTCTAGTTTATCTAGGCACTAGGAATTACTTGGTGAAACTTAGTTCTTGTGGAATTCCTATCAAGTCAGGGTCTTGGGAAACCAATTCAGAATCGTTAGGAATCAATCAATTACCTTGAATGTGCTTAGAGATGTATCAAATGATACCAGCCGACTAGTCCAATAACTACAGTTTCCTGAAAAGTGCCCCTTTCCAGGGCAAAGGAAGTTAAGAGCTTGCAAAAGAATTGCAGAATCAATTCCTAAATAGAACTTAGAGTAGAATTCCTGTAACATCCGGCAATTTGAAATAGCTAAGAAGAAGCTTAGAATTTGAAAATTTTCAATTTTTGGAAAGGATTTGAAAATCTAGAAAATTTGGCTAAGTATGGAAATCAGTGATTTTTGGCCAACTTTGAGCAGTCATAACTTCTAGCTCAGGATTATTTAGGAGTAGTTCCAGTTATGGTTGTGAATCTTGTGGAATGATCTTTCCAACGCCACCGAGTTTGCTCAATTCCGAGTTCGTATGAGCGAGTTATGGCCTTTGAAAGTTGGGCAGTTGACAAGGAAATCCGTCCGGGAATCATTAAGGGCATTTTGGTCTTTTCCCTAGCTATTTCTTTTGAGGATGTATTGTTGTATAGGGCTGATCTTTGGATCATTTTGTTCCATTTTTAAGAGAGTGAAGGCTAGGGCTTGAGA